AGACATTACATCATGTAATACAAAACAGGTGGATGGCTCCTTACAGCGCGAGTGTATCTCATGTGAAGATTTCCTTCAGATCTGAGAAGGGTCTTTTTACCATTGCCCTAAGTCACGATGCACCAGGCCTATATACTACATGTGCTTGTTACATCTCTTAAGTCTCTTTAAATCCCAGCTGTTGTTCCCCGCCACCCTGCCCCCGCCTCCATCTCTTTCTTTTCCTGCTGTGACCTATGGAGGACCCTGTGCTGCGGTCCTGTGGATTCCCACTCCCTGAACTTGGCCCACGGCTTCTACACATTCCTTTATCACTCGTTGTTTCCCATAAAATGGAATTTAATTTTATGGGCTCCATTAGACTCTGTTTTGGTTTGTTGGTTTCTGTTTGGTTTGGCAAGGATACTGCATAGGTAAATGCAAAACAATTTCAACCATGTCCCCTCAGACAGTACTCAATGTCTGGTTTCCCAAGTCAGTGACTGAGAAGTGGGTTCATCTTGCAACAGCCTAACTCACCATTGGAAGACTCTCCACCATCCTTTCCTCTGCCAGCTTTGCCTAGTGATACGTCTCCCCCTGGATCAGATTTTCAGGAGTTGCAAACTTTTTCTTTTCAAGTCCTATCACTATTCCAAATTTCTCAGCTAACATCCATACAACCAGGTCTGTATATTCATTCGGAGATGTGACTCCAACGGGCAGGTTAGGCTCATGTCAGGACCAGCAAATGCTTTGCTTTCAGGTTTTACAAACAGGCCTGAGCAATAACTGTTTCTTCCTGTCATGTAAAATGTCAAAGCTCTGCCACCATTTAGGTAGTGCCAGTGTAGATGTGTCACATGGAGAGGGCTGGGCACAGAGTAATGGTCCTGCCAGAGAAGGCTTCTCTTTGTGCCTTTTGAATTCTCGAGAATTCCAATTCTCTTCCTCTCTACCTCTCTGCCTCTGCTGAAACCTGAGAGCAGCAAGACCATATGTGCATATAGTTGGAACTAAAGCTAGTCTATATGCTTCCCCTCCCTCCCCATCCCATGCAGATGCATCCTAGGCCCAGCCTTCTGGGGTATGAGATGGCTTACCTTGTCCTTATGAGAATCAGGTTTGTAATGCCCAGATGAGTGGAATGGCCAGTCAGCTGATTATGGTGTTATAGAATTATATGTGTCTTTGTGGAGGTGTTTCTGAATCGGGGTTGAGGGTGGGGACACCCGTGATTGCTATTTTCCAGCAGGTCCCCACAGTCAACGCTATGACCTTATTTGTCTCAAATCCTCCCCCCTTTTTTTTCAAAGATTTAATATTTTTTCTACTTTTCCCTGTTTTCCTACCTGCTGATGTATTTTCCTTTCCCTCAACAGAGTGTCACCTGGTAGGAAGACTTGGGAACTTAGATATGTCTGCAGTGGGTAGCCTGGCCTGAGGGCACCTCCCCTCCATATCTGCATCTAGCCTCCCCTACTATTGATGGAATGATCTACCCCTTCCCATACCCCTCAGGCTGAGCCCAGCATCCTATTTATCTTAGTTAGGGGTTTACTGCTGTGATCAGACACCATGACCAAGACAAGTCTTATAAAGGACAACATTTAATTGGGCTGGCTTACACGTTCAGAGGTTCAGTCCATTATCATCAAGGTGGGAGCAGGGAAGCACCTAGGCAGGCATGATGCAGGCAAAGCCGAGAGTTCTGCACCTTTGAAGCCGGCTAGTGGAAAACTGACTTTCAGGCAGCCAAGTGAGGGTCTTAACCCTATGCCCACAGTGACACACCTACTCCAACAAGGTCACAGCTAATAGTGCCACTCCCTGGGTCAAACATATATAAACCATCACACAATCCTCTCCTCAGTCTAAGCCAGCTCACTCTTGCTGTTCCCCAAGTCACTGTGGTGCTTCCCTGCTATGTTGACAGTGGAGAGGGATACCCATGCCCCTCTCTATGTTGTCACTTAATCCTCATTTCTTCAACTTGGCTCTGTGTTCACCAAGGGTAAGAATATACTTTGAACTTCTACAAAGGTCTGAAAGCACTGGACTCAGAACCCAGTTTCTCACAGCTAAACTTTCCCTCACATTGACACCCTAATACCTGTTCCACCCCAGCACACCTTCAGGTTTTCTATGCATCTGTGATTGGCATCTGATAACCCAGTAGGCAAAGACCAGCAGACCCCACACTCTCTCATTATTCCCTTTGCAGGAGGGTGATGGAAGGGCCACACCCTAAGTGGGCCACCCAGCAGGAGTGAGCCTCCCCCAGAGTTCCCTGGGGTGCTGTTCCAACCAGTAAGCTGGAGTCTGATTCCACATGTCAGCTGGGAGGCCTCTAGGAACAAAAGTCTCCAGCAGCCTCTCACTACCAGTCAGCTCACTAGATTTTTGTGTGGGCATCCCCCACTCCCCACAGGAGCCTTCTGCTCACCTTCTGTTGAGAAACTCCACTCAGTTTTCAATCTTCCCGGGACTGAGGCGGGTACCCGTCATGCCGTAATTAGGCACCACTTTCTCTGCTATCACAGAACCAAAGATTTTCTTCTCTTCTGCTCACTGACATGACAGACACCCACTTAGCAGAGAGATTATTAGTATAAAATTACTTTTTGGCCTTTAAATTTAACTATACCATATTCACAGCAATAAAATAAAATCCCAAATCCAGGTGTGCTTTTCAGGGAATGTGTCCAGGGCAATTACCTTCTGATAATGGCATCCCGCACTTAAGCCTTTTGTCTGAGGATCTTGAAATCATTTCCATACAACTCTGTAATGATGTTCATTCTGTAAGGGACAAGAGGTGAAGTAACTGACCTCATAGCGTTCACCAGAGATGAAGGAGACTGGGGACCCAGGTGTCTGCTTTGTTCTCCACCTCCTCCCTTTCTGGTTCTTTAAAGAGGCACGGTCCGCCTTCTGTGGCACAGTGCTTGCCCTCAGATCAGCAATCTTCCTTTTTAAGAGCATGAATGGATAGGCTTCTATATCTCATTTCAGAGATGAGCTGAATTGGGGGATGGGGGTGCTGAAGATCTGTTACACAGGAGGGCTTAAATATGGATTCAGTGGGCTCTCAGTTAAAGGGCACCTGAAGCTGAGCCACACAGGGCTAGCACTGTCTAGGTAAGAACCTGGAATATCTTTGTGACCATGGAACAAAGGCAGGTCCTCCTGTCCTCACATCAGGAGTATGTCCTGGTTGCATTCCCTGGCTGTCTAACTCCATGCTCATCCTTCCGTTCCTACAGTCAATCCAAGTTCTTGGGAGCCAGCTTATGCCATGCGTCCTTCTCCAAGCCACCCAGTCACCAGTCCGTTCTCTCCATCAAACACTGTGTTGCTTTCTCCATCCACTCTGGTCAACAAATTTGAACTGAATATGCATTACTCGAAGGATTCAGGCATGGACGCACACTCCTTCCTGTAATGTTATTTTTACTCTTGTATGAATGTTTATCCATGCCTGGTGGGAGCATTGGGTCCTGATGGAAATGCTCATGTCTCTCTGATGTGGTATTTCCCCTTGGGCCTGAACATTATCCTACATAGGCATTGGAAGCTCAGTATTTGCTTAGAGCAGCAACTGTCAACCTGTGGGTCATGACCCCTTTGACAAACCTTTATCTCCCCAAGTTATTTACATTATAATTCATAGCAGTAGCAAAATCTCAGTTATGAAGAAGCAATGAAAATAGTTTTTATGTTTTGGGGTCACTACAGCATGAGGAACTATATTAAAGGGTTGCAGCGTTAGGAAGGTTGAGAACCTCTGTCTTAGAACCTGTGGGAGGCAGAAGAGACAGTACTGTGAGATCCAGAATGAAATGATAGAGTCTTGAGTCCTCATTCTCTGATCTGCCACCACACCCGCCAACTTGACAGGTAGGAGCTAGGTCTCTGGGCATACCTGTGTGGGGTTGTCTGAAGGTTAGCCTCTGAGAAGGTCTGAAGGGAATCACCTTGTGCTGGTGAGGGAAGAAGACCTCTTAATAATGGGTAGAGTCATCTCCCTGGAATGAGAGGGCAAGTTAAATGTTAGCATGTGTGAATATTTATTTCTGTCCTCTTCTGATTGTGGATGGACATAGCATTGCCACTTGTCTCAAACTCCTGCCACTGCAAATCCCCTGCCATGATGGGCTGTCACCTGGAACCATCAGTCAAATAAACCCTTTCTCCTTTAAGTTACTTTTGTCAAGGTATTTTATTAACGGGAAAAGAAACTAAGACAATATGAAAGGCCTCAAGTATGAGTTGCATGTGCTGGCTACCATGGGAATACACTACAGACTGGGAACCTTAACCACTGGCGAGAGAAAGTAAGCATGCAGGTGCTGTAGGAAAGGTGGACCATGATGGGTTCCACAACCAAGATTCAGTCTAAGGGCTTTGTAGCAGAGGTGTGGCAGGATCTATTTGGAATCAAAAGAAGGGCTCGTCCATTTAGCCAGCAAATATATATTGAAAGTATCGGGGCACACACCTAATGCCACTTCTCCAGAGGAGGGAGCCAGCTTCCTGGATGGTCATATGGCCATCTTTGGCTCCATCTCTTAGATAATTTGGGCCCTGTGCTCTCTCTGCTTGAGCTGCTCTTTGTCTGTGAGCCTGTGCAGCCTATGATTAAATATTCCTGCATAGCAGATCTCTTTCATTTATTCCACAAATATATATTGATGAGGAGCTAATGTTGGAGCTTCATGGAAGAGGACCAGGAGCAGATTCATACTCCAAAACACAATGCAGCATTCTCTCGATGTAAGTACATAGGACCAGGTGGATGTCTCTTCACCCCGCCTCAAATGCAGGAAGTAGTCTAGGGATCTGAAGGAAGGTTATATATCATCTCGTCTCTGTATTGGCTTCTAGATCACAAGCTATTTTCCCTTCAGGAGCTCATTAACAGTCACAGCCAGCTTTTCCTCTGTGTCCCAGTCTTCAGATGAAATACTGACTGCGAAGGTGAGAGCTACCCTCACTGTTTGCCTTTTGATCTCTTCCAGGATTTTTTTTCCCGGAAGCCATCCTGTCAGAGGTGTGCAAGTGATGAAAGTTGGCAAGCTGCAGCTCCATCAAGGCATGTTTCCCCAGGCCATGAAGAATCTGAGGCTGGTGAGTGTGCCAAGACTTGGGTTCGGCCCGGTGTACCTTTCTCTGGCTCCTGCCAGTCCTCTACTCGGTAATCGCTAAGCTCTGCCTTTAGCATGTGAGTACACACATGCCCAAGTGTGCCAGTAAATGTTTAACAACATTTGTAACAGTTGCCAGTTTCTGTGGGTTAAATGTATTCAAATGTAATTTGTTTTACACTGTCAGTATAGAATCAACCTGCTTGTGTATTAAGTATGCCTGTGTGTGCACGTGTGTGCAGGTGTGTGTACATGCATGAAGAGGCCAGAGGTCAACTAGGTGTCATTCCTCAAGAGCTTTATTTGCGGGAGACATGGGATCTTGCTAGCTTGAAGCTCACTGACTAGACTCACTCCCCAGCGAGCATCAGAGACCTGACTGTCTCCACACCCCAGCACTGGAAATTACAGATCTGTTTCTCTAGCCCCAGCTTCTAATGTGAGTCCTCTGGCTTGAACTCAGATCATCATGCTCACATGACAAATGCTTAATCTACCAAACTGTCTCCCCAGGTTCCTACTCAGTATAATTTTAACAATTACTCTGGTGTGAGTTTCAGAACACCAGTACACATGTGCCCAGTCCCACAAATCACCCTTCACCACATCCTCTGAGTACAATATGTCTCTTCTTGAGGTAGGCAAGACCTGCCCATCAGACTGTAGTCTCTGTATCACCTCCTCCTCCTCTCTCCACTGCCAGGGCAGGCTTTGGTCAATACTGACTTACTAACTTTGAGGTCTTTACAAAGCTATTTCCTCTACCTTAGATGTACTTCCCAGCCTGCTGGGCCTGGCAGGACTGTACTGGTCCTTCAGGGCTCAGCTCCAATGTTTTTGTTAACTTGGTTCTTACAACTCTTTGTTGGCTCTGCCAGTGGAGAACTTTCAGCATTTCAGTGTGTGTGTGTGTGTGTGTGTGTGTGTGTGTGTGTGTTTGAGAGAGAGAGAGAGAGAGAGAGAGAGAGAGAGAGAGAGAGAGAGAGCGCAGGGGGCTCCTTTCCAACCCCTGCAGCCTATAACTCATCGCTCTCATCCTCATAACTAGCTCAGCATCAGTCGAAATCCCAAAAATATATTCGTTGTTGGAGAAGTGGGAAGGGAAGGAGTGAGAGAGGTCAATACAATCTTAGCAATCCCTGTTAGAAAATGAAATGAAGGGCCTGGGTTAGTACTGGACACTTTGCTAAAGGGGAACTTAGTTTCACCCTCTTAAGGAGCCTGTCTGCCTGGAGCAGCCCAGGGTTCTCCTGGCCTGGCCCTCCCATACTTTAGAACATCCTCTCAACATGTCACGGCAGTCATGTGCCTATCTGGTCCTCATACTGGTGGGTCATAGGAGACCTGGCTTTCTTGGGGAGCCTTTGATACTTGGAGGGGGTCTTCTGGCCCCCAGTACTCATGTGTCAGAGAGATGTGGTAGAAGGATCAAGCATGCAGTTGAGGTTTCCCGGGGAGTGTCCAAAGGGACAAGAAAGGTAATAAATGCCTAAAGGATTATTAATGCCAACTTATATTGGACGCTAGCCACATTGTCTGCTCCTGGATTTTAATTGACAGCAGCCACCAGCCAATGAGAACAACACTGGGGCTTCCTGGAGGTGACCATCTCTTCCTTTTTCTCTTTCTTTGGTACCTTCCTTAGATGAATGTTAGAACAACCTCCTACAGTCTCAGGAAGAACGTCCCTTCTCTTACCTAGTCAAGTACATGTCAACCAGTCCATCTATGTAGACAGAAGACACTTACCTTGATCTGCTGTGTGAAGGTTTCAGTAGAAACCAATAATGTATCAAAAGCAAGAGAGGTGTTTCCATTACTGTTTGGAAAATGAAACACTAAGGTGCAAAAACCTCTCTCTCCAAGACACAGCCAGTTCTGATATATTCTGCTTAATTCACCACAAGTTGTTGATTAAATGCTGCTGCTACTCTGAGTAAGACCCAATAATACTGTCCTTACAGTTTACTGGAGGAGACAGACACACGAAAAGGTTTTAAAATCTACACTGGGATGCAAGGCTCCAGCCTTCTCTCAACTGTCCCATTGAAGTAGAAGATGCTTTCTGGAAGCATAGCATCTGGAATTGCCTTCAAGCCTAGTTGAATTCCTGAATGTCTTTTTAGAAGAAAGGTGGGTGTCTTAGTTAGGGTTTTACTGCTGTGAATAGAAACCATGACCAAGGCAACTCTTAAAAGGACAACATTTAACTAGGGCTGGCTTACAGGTTCAGAGGTTCAGTTCATTATCACCAAGGTGGGAACATGCCAGCGTCCAGGCAGACATGGTGCAGGAGGAGCACCGTGAGTATCAGCACACATGTGCATGGAGTACATGTGTGCATGCATTTACACACACACACACACACACACACACACACACACACAAACGCATGCGCAAACACACAGGCACGAATACACATACACCATTTTTAAATATCAAATTTAAAAAAAGAGTAGGTAAAGAAAAAAATGATGGATGAAATACAAGCGTAATGATTAAACTGTCTTAAAAGAAAACACAGATGTTCCTATCAGAGTCTAAACCCAATAGTAGCAAGGAGCTGAGTAGGAAACCTGGACTTGTGCCTATGACTGTCACCAGCAAGGTGTCATCCTTACTCCCTTCTAGAGTGATGTTGGGGACAGCCAGCTCAAACAAGGTTTGCATAAAATCCAGGTTTCCAAAATGTCCATATTTCAGTTGAAAATCACTCACCATACAAAGAACCAGTCTTAATCTTTAAAATCGATCAGCAGATACCAGCTTTGAGAGAGCAAATGCATTAAATTCATTTGACAGTGACATGACTACAGCCTTTGTAAAGATGTTGCTTCAGTGAGCAGTTATAAACACCATCACAACAAACAAGAAGCATAGTCTCATGAAGAGGGGGAAGGTGTGAAGGAATACACAAAAACCTAAGAGCCAACAAATTCAGGAAGCAGGTGAGTAGAGAGGAACTCAGCACCAATCACACAGGAGAAAACCATAATAAAAGTAAAACTGAACATGGCCTTGGAGATCTGGGGACCAATGACTAGTAATGTTAGCTTTCTGACATTAAACTCCCAGAAAGAGAAGAGAAATGGTAAATATAAAGAATACTTGAAACAATGATAGAGACATCCGAGCTAGAAAAAATATATGTTTAAAACACATGCAGAAAATATTATAACTAACAAATTAATTAGCAAATTAGTACAATCTAAGATCAACATTCATAAATTATTTGTGTTTCTATATACCAACCAAAGTAAGAAATTGAATTCTTCCATTTGTAAGACCATAAAATGCTTAGAAATCAACCAAAGTGATGAAAGAAAGACATTAAAATGCAAAGTGGCATCTTTGCTATGGATTGAAAAACTGAAGACATAAACATCTCTGAGCGATACACACATTCTCCTCAAAGGCTGGCTGGCTCTCTCTCTCTCTCTCTCTCTCTCTCTCTCTCTCTCTCTCTCTGCAAAATAGAAAAATCAGTCTTAAAATTCACATGGAAACTCAAGAGACACCCTCTGCCCCAACAAAATAGCCAAAATTAATCTTTGAAAAGAACTAAGAACTATCTTTGAAAATTCCAATTCCCAATTTCAACTTACTACAAAGCTATAGTAACCGTAACCATATGCTACTAGCATAAAGATGGATACATAGACCAATGCATACATAATTAAACAAATGCAGTAGAGCCTCTCACACAGGAAAAAGCAATTTTCAACAGCACCATTTAATAAGGAAAGGATAGTGACCTCAAAAAATGGTGTTAGAGAAGCTGATATCCACATGCAAAGGCTGACGTGAGATTCACCTACCCATATACAGAAAGTAACTCAAATGGATCCAAAAATCCTAAACATAACAGCTAAAACTATAAACAGATTAAAACAAAAAAGGAAAACTTGAAGATATTGAGATTACAGTTATGAATAACAATAAAAATAATTTTATGGTTGGAGTCACCACAACATGAGGAACTTTATTAAAGGCTCTCAGCATTCGGAAGGCTGAGAACCATTGGTCTAACACTCTGGAAGGCAAATATTAGTAGAGCAGATATATTTGAAAGTACCCCAAGTTTGTGCTGTCTATAAGAGACTCTTTAAACATAATGCTATAGATAGACTGAAAGTTAAAAGGCAGGAGAAGATACATCATGAAAATATAATCACAATATAGCTGCAGTGATTATGTTAATATCATATGAGTAGACTTCAGCGTAAAGAAGACTTGACTAGAGATGAAGGACATCATAGACTGTAAATGCCTCTGAGAGGCAGCAACACTAAACATAGCTGCATCAAAGCACACAGCTTCAAACGGTACAAACAAAACCTGGTAGAGCTTTGTGTGGAGCCTGAGGCAGAAAGATGACTAATTTGAAACCAGGCTGGTCACCCTTGTAAATTCAAGGCCAGTCTGGGTAGCATAGCAAGCTCTGTCTCAAAACCTCACTAAACCAAACCTGTAGACCTGAAAGAAAGCAGAAACCCCAAGTATAAGTAAACATGAAGTGTCTATCTACAGTTCATAAGAACAAGTAGACAGAACATCAACAAAGATAGAGGGAAATTTACTACCACTAGTGATGTAGTAATTTTATAAAATACCCTGCTCAGAAAGGCAGAATAGACATCTTTCACAAGCACATAAAGAACACATCACAGGAGACCCCATGACACATTCTGGGACATTAAAAAAATAATCAATTAATGTGAATGGTTCATAAGTGTAAGCAATAGATGAATACTCTGGCCTCGGTGGAATCAAATTAGAAATCAATAACAGTACTCAGAAACAAAATCAAGACTCCATTCCCCTACCTCTGTCTGGTGTGGTATGTCACACAGCACAAGCAAGCCAAGGTGTGCTTTCATTCGATGACACCAAGGTCTTGGGAAAGTACAAGACTCCTTCAGAGACTCTCGGGCACTGAGTTAATATTGACTGGGTTGGTTGTGGAGAGCTTGCTCACAATCA